TCCCCATGGCAGGGCCGGCTGATGGGAGCCCCTGGGGGCCGTGGCCTGGCTCCCGGCCCTACCTATGGTGGGGATAGTGGTGACGATCTCGCCCAGCTTCAGCTTGTAGAGGATGGTGGTCTTCCCGGCCGCGTCCAGCCCCACCATCAGGATGCGCATCTCCTTCTTGCCGATCAGGCTCTTCAGCAGGTTGCCGAAGATGTTGCCCATGGTGGTGGTGGGGGCGCGGTGCAGGGGGCTCCCGGGGCCGGCTTGCTCGCGGTGCGTTCCTGGCGTCGAGGCCGGTTCCTGGGCGGCGGGAAGGGCAAAGCCGGCCGGCATCAGGTGCCTGCGGAGACGGCAGCTCCCAGCGGGCCCGGATGCAGGGGGGCGTACACCCCAGGAGCTCTGCTCCATGGCGGGGATAGGTCGGGCAGGGCGTTCGGTGGCTCATGCCCCGAGTCCCGGCTCGATGCCCGGCCAGCCCACTCCTGATCCCCAGGTGCTCAGCAGCCACGCCCGCAGTGACTGTGAGAGGCCCTGCTGGCCCACTGGCTTCAGGCTACCCCAGCCCAGCCCCACAGCCGGGGGGACAGGGGAGACTCACAGGCAATCGGTGAGGAGGACAGCGCCACAGGCTGGCTTTGTGCGCCCCACAAGGGACCTTTCTCCCTGCGTCCACAATACTGAAAGGCAGAGCCGGGGGCAGCCGTGCCAGGCCGTGCCCAGCACCCACCAGGGCCAGCTGACTCGGTGGCCCTCGCTCCCCGGCCATGGAGTGTCGGCCCCCAAGGCACTGACAGCAGGGTCACGGCAGTGCTGCCAGTGAGGGGCCAGGAGTGGCACATGCAGGGCGGGGGGGGTGTTCACTGTGGGGGGGTCCATCACACAGGGGGTGCAGGGGCAGCCCCCGCTCCTAACACTGCATGCTAGCCAATCAAAACAGGCCTTCCCCTAGCACCTGCCAACCGCAGCCCCCAGGAGGTGGGTCCAGACCAGCCTTAACACAGATGTAACACAGATGGGGAAACTGAGGCACTGAGCCAGGGACTTGCCCAAGGCCACGGAGTGAACAGAAGAATTCCCAGCCTCCAGCTAACACTCCCCGCCAAAGCTGGGAATAGAACCCAGGAGTCCTGGCTCCCAGCCCCCGCAGCCACCCCCCCGCCCCCCTCACATGGTACCTGTGCAGGGGAACGGGGCACCGGCACCTCTCACCCTTCCATGTCCCTCTTGTTGGTGTTTTAGGCCATTCCCTGCCCTTGGGGTATCAGCAGCCCCTGCCCACCGTGCCTCCCTCTGGCTCCCTCGAATCCCAGCGCCCCTTTGCCAGGGCCTGATCCTGCCCCTCTACAGCATCTCCAGCCAGCACACGGCACCGCCAGGGCCCCTCAGACCCACAAGCCCAGGGAGCCCCACATTAAGGCAGGCCCCGGGCCCCCAGGGCTGAGACCCACCCACCCAAAATGACTAATAATGAAGCATGACACAGTTCCCTGCCTTCCACCCCGACACGTCACAAGTGATAATGGGGGAGGACCCCCCTAGGAAACCCACAGGGGGTTCACTCGCTGGTCAGCATGGGGGCAAGACCCCAGGCCCCTTGCCCCCCGGTCCCGCTGCATGCCCCCCCGGGAAAGAAGGGCCCCTGGGGGAAAGGTAGCCCCCAAGCTCAGGGGGGACAGTGCTCAGAGAACAGGGCCGTGCCCACAATTTGGAAGGGCCCAGCCCCCCCACATGGGGCTCTCAGCCCCTTCCACTATTGGGGTCTGCAAATAGGACCCCAAAAGCAGCCTTCCACAGCAGCAGGGGGAGCAAGCCAGCTGCCCCCGTCGGGATGCTGGCAGGCCCCAGCTAGTCTCCCCGAGGGGCACGGCCCCCCCCCCCGACACTCCATTCTGGAGGGGGGTCCCGGGGGGAAGGGATGCCTGGGTCCAGCCCCTCTGCTGGGTCTGAGACACCCCCGCTCCCAGGGCTCCCCACACTCAGTGACACGGGCGGGTCAGCTGCCTGCCCCCCCAGGTAACAGGCCCCACTGCAGCATGTGCACCCCCAGATGGCCTGCACCCAACCCCCCCACCCTGCCAGGGGGCAGGCTTGCTCCCCCCATACCCCCTCCGGGTACGGGCCCCATTGCATGCCCCACTCCCCCCCCAAAGGGCAGGCTTGCTCCCCCCCATGCACCCCACTGAGCGTGCCCCCCCTTGGGGACGGGCCCCATTGCATGCCCCACTCCCCCCCCAGGGGGCAGGCTTCTCCCCCCCATGCACCCCACTGAGCGTGCCCCCCCTTGGGGACCGGCCCCATTGCATGCCCCACTCCCCCCCCAGGGGGCAGGCTTGCTCCCCCCCATGCACCCCACTGAGCGTGCCCCCCCTTGGGGACGGGCCCCATTGCATGCCTTGCTGCCCCCCAGGGGGCAGGCTTGCTCCCCCCCATGCACCCCACTGAGCGTGCCCCCCCAGGCCCCTGCACCCCGCACCTACCTGCTCCGGCTCCGGCTCCGGCTCGCGCTCTTCCTCCCGCCCCCTCCCCAGCTGACTCTGCACCGACCCCCCTCCCCCCCGGCCGGAAGCAGCAGGCCCTGTGCACGCACCCCGCGATCTCGCGAGAGCTGTCGCCTAGCCCTGGGGAGAGGGGGGGCAGCAAACCTCGCGAGATCAGCCACCCATCCCCATGGCAACCGCTGCAGCAGTGCAGGGGGGGTGCTGCACGAGTGGGGGAGGGGAAGTGCATGGGGGGGGCTGAGCATTGTGGGCCTTGTGCGTGCCTGGGGGCGCTGGGTGGGGCTGTGCCCCGGGGGTGGAGCGGGGGGGTCACAGCAGCGTGGGAGTGGGGCGCGGGGGCTGGAGCGTGAATAGGGAGGCTGAGATTCATGACGGCCAGGTGCCACCGGGCGTGTGCGCGGGGGGGCCGTGGTGCACTAGCGGGGGCGTGCATGGGGGGGCCGTGGTGCATTAGCGGGGGTGACGTGCACGGGGGGGCCGTGGTGCACTAGTGGGGGCGTGCATGGGGGGGCCGTGGTGCATTAGCAGGGGAGATGTGCACGGGGGGGCCGTGGTGCATTAGCTGGGGTGATGTGCACGGGGGGGGCCGTGGTGCACTAGCGGGGGCGTGCACCGGGGGGCCGTGGTGCACTAGCGGGGGCGTGCACCGGGGGGCGTGGTGTACTAGCGGGGGCGTGCATTGGGGGGCCGTGGTGCACTAGCGGGGGTGACGTGCACGGAGGGGCCGTGGTGCATTAGCGGGGGTGACGTGCACGGGGGGCCGTGGTGCACTAGCGGGGCGTGCATGGGGGGCCGTGGTGCATTAGCAGGGGAGATGTGCACGGGGGGGCCGTGGTGCATTAGCTGGGGTGATGTGCACGGGGGGGCCGTGGTGCACTAGCGGGGGCGTGAACGGGGGCCGTGGTGCACTAGCGGGGGGTGACGTGCGCGGAGGGCCGTGGTGCACTAGCGGGTTGACGTGCACGGGGGGGGCCGTGGTGCATTAGCGGGGGTGACGTGCACGGGGGGGCCGTGGTGCACTAGCGGGGGCGTGCACGGGGGGCCGTGGTGCATTAGCAGGGGAGATGTGCACGGGGGGCCGTGGTGCATTAGCAGGGGTGATGTGCACGGGGGGGCCGTGGTGCACTAGCGGGGGCGTGCACGGGGGGGCCGCGGTGCACTAGCGGGGGTGACGTGCACGGGGGGGCTGTGGTGCACTAGCGGGGGTGACGTGCACGGGGGGCCCGCGGTGCACTAGCGGGGGTGACGTGCACGGGGGGGCCGTGGTGCACTAGCGGGGGTGACGTGCACGGGGGGCCGCGGTGCACTAGCGGGGGTGACGTGCGCGGGGGGGCCGTGGTGCACTAGCGGGGGCGTGCATGGGGGGGCCGTAGTGCATTAGCAGGGGAGACATGAAGGGGGGGCCGTGGTGCATTAGCTGGGGTGACGTGCACGGGGGGCGTGGTGCATTAGCGGGGGCGTGCACGGGGGGTCCGTGGTGCACTAGCGGGGGTGACGTGCACGGGGGGCCGTGGTGCATTAGCGGGGGTGACGTGCACGGGGGGCCGTGGTGCATTAGCGGGGGTGACGTGCACGGGGGGCCGTGGTGCATTAGCGGGGTGACGTGCACGGGGTGGGCCGTGGTGCATTAGCTGGGGTGACGTGCATGGGGGGATGGGGGCGTACACGGGGGGGCCGTGGTGCACTAGCGGGGCGTGCACGGGGGCCGCAGTGCACTAGCGGGGGGTGACGTGCGCGGGGGGCCGTGGTGCACTAGCGGGGGTGACGTGCGCGGGGGCGTGGTGCACTAGCGGGGGTGACGTGCGCGGGGGGCCATGGTGCACTAGTGGGGGCGTGCATGGGGGGCCGTGGTGCATTAGCAGGGGGTGATGTGCACGGGGGGGGCCGTGGTGCACTAGCGGGGGCGTGCATGGGTGGGCCGTGGTGCATTAGCAGGGGAGACGTGCACGGGGGCCGTGGTGCATTAGCTGGGGTGACGTGCACGGGGGCGTGGTGCATTAGCGGGGCGTGCACAGGGGGTCCGTGGTGCACTAGCGGGGGTGACGTGCACGGGGGAGCCGTGGTGCATTAGCGGGGGTGACGTGCACGGGGGGCCGTGGTGCACTAGCGGGGGTGACGTGCACGGGGGGCCGTGGTGCATTAGCGGGGTGATGTGCACGGGGGGCCATGGTGCACTAGCGGGGGTGACGTGCACGGGGTGGGCCGTGGTGCATTAGCGGGGCTGATGTGCACGGGGGGGCCATCGTGCATTAGCGGGGGGTGACGTGCACGGGGGCCGTGGTGCATTAGCTGGGGTGACGTGCCCGGGGGGCGGGGGCGTGCACGGGGGGGCCGTGGTGCACTAGCGGGGGCGTGCACGGGGGGGCCGCGGTGCACTAGCGGGGGTGACGTGCGCGGGGGGCCGTGGTGCACTAGCGGGGGTGACGTGCACGGGGGGCGTGGTGCACTAGCGGGGGTGACGTGCACGGGGGGGCGTGGTGCACTAGTGGGGGCGTGCATGGGGGGGCCGTGGTGCATTAGCAGGGGAGATGTGCACGGGGGGCCATGGTGCACTAGCGGGGGCGTGCATGGGTGGGCCGTGGTGCATTAGCAGGGGGAGACGTGCACGGGGGGCCGTGGTGCATTAGCTGGGGTGACGTGCACGGGGGGGCCGTGGTGCACTAGCGGGGGTGACGTACACGGGGTGGGCCGTGGTGCATTAGCGGGGCTGATGTGCACGGGGGGGGCCATCGTGCATTAGCGGGTGTGATGTGCATGGGGGGCCGTGGTGCATTAGCTGGGGTGACGTGCACGGGGGGGGGGGGGGCGTGCACGGGGGGGCCATGGTGCATTAGCGGGGCTGATGTGCACGGGGGGCCGTGGTGCATTAGCGGGACTGATGTGCACGGGGGGGCCGTGGTGCACTAGCAGGCTTCCCCCAGCCAGCTTCCCCCTCCACCCCCCTGAGGGTGGGGCTGGGAGCCAGGACTCCTGGGTTCTA